GCGGAAATATTGTAGTTATTGTGGAAGTATCTTTGTTCCTGGAATTAACTGTCAAACCCGGCTAAATGCAAATAAAAGGCGAAGAAAACAAAAGAGAAAACAGATAGTTGATATTAAAGATAAATATCCAAAGAGCGTGAAACGAGATAATGAGATAATTCAAGACGATGGTCTGAATTTTTTTTTTTCCAAGTAACTTGCAGAGCACAAAATGATCAATAATTTATCTTTAATACAGGTTCGGGCACTTGTAAGTTACGAAAAGCCACCCAAGAAAAAAGAAAGATTATCCATGTTCAATCCGATAAAACCCATTCACGACAAAGAGCAGATTTTAAACAAAAACGTCAACAATATAAAAATCATTTATCTTATATTTGTAATATGTGCAACAGAGAAACTAGATTCACCGGGAGCATTATGAGAGATGTTTCGCGCCCTGATCAAACTGAAACCAATAAAAAAATTTCACTCTGGCCAAAACCGCATGAAATGTCAACCTTATCCAAAAAGTTGATAACTCCGAGTAACCCTTCGAGTGGAAGTAAATCTAAAAAGAAAAAGCCAAAATCACAGCTTCAACAATTTTTAGCTGAAGAAAAGGAGAGAAATAATGAGAAAAAAGATCCGTCAGAATTGCTAAATTTAGAAGATTTTTTATCATCTTTATGATTAAAATAGAAAAACGGATATTCACAATTTCTGGTTACAAAAAATCGAATATATCACATCCTCCACTCAAATTGATAAATCAACGATGTTCACATTTAGATTGAAGTTCCTTTAACATTTTATGACAGTCAGCCTGCGCGAGTGATCGCGAGCCATCACTGTAATCCATCAGAACAGAATTGAATTGATACTTTCCGGTCCCCTTTTCCACGGTTTAAAGATTAATGATTGTTAAATAAAACAGAATGATTAATAATACAAGACTTACTAGCACTGAAATGCAACACCAAAGCATTTTTCCCTTAATATTATGTCCCAGTTGTTCCTTTGTCAATTTGGCTCTTATTGAACTTTCCGTCATTACTTCTATCCCGATGGAGTGCAGTATATCCTGGATGGTTAATGACAATGTCAAACATAATTTTGTTATAAATATTACACTCAAAACACTATTCTTTTACCTGTGATACAGAACCCGCAGCTTCAACCCAGATAACTCCAGTACCATCATCCAAACACCACTTTATGGTGGACGATTTGTCGCTTATCGCCCAATCAGTGATCAAACAACGGCAAACAAATTGATCAAGGTAGGATTCATTAGAGT